CTCTGAAAACAAACCTCTGTCAAATTATATAGCTTAAAACGGGCTCTTAAAAAAATACCAGCCAGTGGCCAGAGCAATAATAAGGGTCATTGTAAGAAGATACAGAGTTCCCACCTGGCTTTGGCACACTGAGCACGTTCAGCCTGGATATTTGTCAGTGCTCTTTTCCTTCCGGCAGTTTTCATTTATTGGCTGCGAGTTAGGGCTTCCCCTTGCAGGACCTCTCTGGGTTCCTGCCTCCGGTTCCCTCCTGCTTTAGACTGACTGTCAACCTTGCATTTTCCTGGCTCAGAGGTAGTGAAGTCCACTGGATCAGGAGAGAGCCAGCAAAACAGCTCAGCTGCAGTGTGTGTGCAGGGTCCTAGAACCTGACCATGGATTACTTGTGGCACACCAGCAGAAAAACATCCTTGGCATGTGATTGTGTTCATGGCCTTGCTGTGTAAGCTCCAGTTTGAAAGCAGGGTGCGGGTTTAGGGCAGCCTTAATTTGCTTGGTGCCTCCAGCTGGCTGGTCCATAGGTGGCTGTGTTTCAAAGGACACTTTTTCTTGTATCAGCTCTTTTTTTATTTCCAGTACTCAAGTCAGTGGGGTTATGCAAGGCTGGTCCTTTGTTTTTGTGGTCCTTTAAGAAAAAGGTGATACTGAAATGGGATAGTTTCTAGTGCTTATTGCTAGTAATAGAAGGCAAAGCAAGTCTTGCTTTCTGATAATGCAGTGTCTTCCCTTGAAGTGTTCGTGTGCTCAGAGTCTCACAGACTACGCATTGTTGCACTACTTCTTTAACTGTTACTGAGATTGGTTTGTACTTTCCCATGGAATTGCATAAATCACAACAAAGTTTGAGTCAGAGCCATGTCTTAAGTACTGGCTCTGAGTGCCCGCTAACCAAGGTTGCACGTAGGTCCAAAAGAAGCTCATAGCCTCGCTTCAGGTGTGCAGTAGAAAGTGCTTTTTGTAAAATTCCCTGTGTAGTACAGGGGTCATCATCTGCAACAAGAATTTAAAGTAAAAGCATATGTTTCAGCTCCACATATCTAGGTCCTCTCTCCCCTTCTTTTATTTTAGAATGTTTTTTTTTTTTTTTTAACACAAGGGCAAGCTTTTGACTTAATTCTGGGGAGGCAGCTTTACCTGGGTGAGAATGGCAGGATTTGGATTGCTGTCACAAGGGAAACAGAGATAGAGGCTTATAATTGAAAATAACACATAAAAAGCTTGTTTTGAATTTCTTGATGGAATGTACAGGGCTCAGAAGGGGGTTCTGCATCCCCTCAGATACAGTACTTAATATTTACGCTTTTCATTGCACCTTGACAAACATTTCACGTAGTTATTGCTTTGCTTGAATATGGAAATATGTTAATTATGGCCTTTATTCCACTGCCTGCTCTTTTCCTCAGCCTTTTCTATTCAACCCTCTAGGTGGCCCAGCACAATGTGGCTTCTTTTCTTTCAATGAGCTCTTTCCACACTAATAGGGTCCAGGGTGATGTGGAGAACCATGTGCACAAAATCGGTGCACCACCCCCCATCCCTTTGTGGGCATGTCAGGTTAAATTCATATCAGCAGGAGGGTCACTGCCATGATTTTCAATAGCACGAGATGAGGTGATGACTTCAGACAATGGTGCCACACTCTCCAGTTGGAGACACTTGCCTCACCAGTTGCAGTAGTTAATTAATATGCTAAAAATAGAAGCCAGTGATACAAATCGCTGCCTGTTGTACAACAAAGACTAGGCATGTGTAGCTTTGATAGCCAAGTTTATGGTGCTTGTTATGGAGGGAAGTTAGTTTAGAGCTAGAGGCAATGTAAGACTTTCTGGATGCTGAGCTTTAGTCACTCTGGGCCTCTGGCCATTCGCTCGCTGTCTCATTTGCATTATGAATGACATTAAGGGAACTAACAAGGTTATTGGGCATAGAAATGTTCGCATGTGACCCCACGTGGAAGCAGACCTACAGCAGTGCTAGTTGGCAGGGGCACTGTGGCTCTTTATTCAGCTTCCTAGGAAGACGGTGTCTGGGAGTAGATATAAAATCAACCACGAGAAAACCAGCATTGGGATAATGTGAAGGTCTTGGTGCAAGACCCTAGGAGGCAAGGATGTTCAGAGGGCAGGCAGGAGATGTGTCCTTCACTCAGTCTGGTGTGCCTGGCCGGTCTTGAGCATTGAGTGCAAGACACAGGAGCTCCCTGTTGCTCACCACCAGCTAGCTGCTGTTCTCTGGAGGCTCAGTGACCATGCATGAGGCTGTGGGTCCATCCAGGCCTCCAAGTGGGTCCCTTTCTCCCTGCTGCTGGCTCACATGGTGGGGTGGCAGATGGTGGGTTTTGATTCTTGGGCACTGCATCATAACTTCCATAGGGACTGTCCAAACATCAGCAGAGTTTGAGAGGTTTCACATCATCTTTTTACTGTATTTTTCTGAAACTTGAGACAAGGAGGGATAAGTTACGGAAAGTCCATAGTCCTTATGCCACCCATATTTCCCATGCATAACTAGGAAATGGTTTGGTGAGTCCAAAGATTAAATGCACAAGTCACTTCTCAACTTAGGACCACGTTGACGAAGTGCAGCCTCATTCGCATCAAATGCAGGCACAAGGAATTCGTAAACCCAAGCAAATGCAGCGTATACAAGAGGAGAAACAGACCTATGGAGATGAAGTCTTAACTTATCTCTTTTCTAAAGAAATCAGTGAGATTGCTGATGAGTCCCTCTGTGTAGATGAGGGCAGATTTTGGGGGTGCAAGGTCTCTTCTATAAATGTTCAAACATTATTAAATACTGTGGACGTCTGTTATTTGCTCTGTGGACCAGGAGGAGACTCTGAACAGTCATGCAAGCACATGTATTTGCAACCTTTATAAAATTATCTCATTATTGGAGTCCTTCAGCCATTTCTGCCCTTCATATTGGACTTTGCAAACTGGTAGCTCAACAGTCACACTTCTTCCATGGAGCCACTAGCTACAAGATCAACCCATAGGAACAAGCTATTACAACAATCACCCAGTGTCAAGTCCTGGGGCCCCTGTCAGTAGAAATGGGTAAGAAGAGAGGCAAAATTGCATAAAAATAGGGCTGTTTCAAGGAGTTAAAATTCTTCTGTATTTATGGCCTGCTCTCGAGGTCTGGCCCAATGATAAGTGCAACCACAACCTGAGGCGCTGGAGATAGGATGGGCTCTGGGGGGAGTGCATGTACTATGTGTCAGGTAACCTTACCTGTTTTCCTTGGTCATCCTTTTACAGTCTCAGTGGGGCTAGCCATTCCATACATGTCTATAAATCCACATGAGGTAAATGTAAAAGTGATTTTGATCATGAACGTGCAATTCCTGTTACCTCAACGTGTGCTGAGATCACACATCAGGGCTGTTCTGCACTGGTAAGTAGGAGTCGGGGGTCTCCTGTTGACTCATTAGTGGGGATAATAGAACTTAATTTTCAAGATCATCAGCTTACCTATATACAGTGGGTTCTTACTATTACAGTAGTGCATATTTACTATGTTTATAATATATGCAGTCCATATTTATTGTTTCAGTCCGTGGAAATTTGCTCATGCAGAAGTGTTTGTCAGAGTGTGATGTCTCTGGAGCTCTCCTGGTAGGAAGCAGCGTGCAGTGGTGGGCTTGTAGGTGGTCACCTCCTGGTGGCTTTATGAGACAGATAAACCTATGTCAGGGTTTCAGCTCTTCCTTTCCTCTCCCTGCTTCTAACACCCCACCTTCCAGTCCCTCTGGATGAGTGTTATGACTTGAGTCATAACCTAACATACCTTAGTGCTTCATTCCTCGTGGGTCCCAGGGACACGTTCCAGTCTGGAGAAGAGCATGCTGTCTCCACAGCTGTTGAAGTACCTGCCAGCTCAGAGTCCGGGAGACCGAGAACAACTGTCCATGTGTCTAAAACTTCAGCAGACATCAACAGGGTTACAGTTTGTACTAGCTGGACAGAGGGGATTTGGTACCTGCCCTTAACAGAAGGGCAGTTTTCTGTAACAATATGTTTCTATAAATAGACTGAATATTGATTATGGTTTATTTCATGTGAAGTATTACTTGGATTTCCTCTTCCTTCTCCAGTCCCCACAGCTGAAAGCTGGTAGAGAAGGGTTTGTTAATGAGTTATTGTTGAACCAAAGAAATTAAATAACAGATCTTCATTTTAGGAAGATACCAGTAACCTAGAAGATCTCCTGGAAATGCTGTTTAGTAAGACATGACAATAAACTAGTGCCTATGGTAGTATCATAAACCATAAATTTGTCTTATGAAGGTCACAAGAACATTGCGTTTTATTTTCATTTCTCTCGTGATCGCCATAGATCACAGATGTGTGAGAGGAAGTTTTGAAATGTATTTTCAACTTGTTTGTTAAGAAAGAGTACTAATGATAAATGTGATCTTTGTTTTTTCTTGTATTGTATAGCTGCAGGCTGTAAGTGTTCTCACTTCCTAATTGCAAAGGTGGCAAAGATGAACCGTTAATTAAAACCTCTTTCCTGGACAGGTCTTTAAATGCTCAAGTTAATTAAGTCTTTAAAAATGGACGTGACTAAAAATCTCAGTTTGGTCTTTTGTAATAGCTTATTCCAGTTAGTTTTCCAGTTATACAGAGAGCTCTAATGTGACTGAGACCCAAATTTCTGACATAAATAGCAGAAAGCCTCCTTCTTCTTTTTCCTTTTCTTTAAAATGAAGGAAAGACTATTAAAAATTGTCCAGGTTTATTTTATGCATCAGTGAGAATAAAAGACTGAACTGCATTTCCATTTTAATTTGCAGATCTGTTACCCTTCCTTTGACTGCTTGTGATGAGCAGTGTGACTAATGAGCTCCACCGGACCAGAAAGAGTGGCACTTTCCCCTTTCTTCTACTTCCCTGGGTTTTATTCTTGGGTGTGGTTTTTTATGTTGCTTGCCTCTGATGTTTTGCAGCTTTTCTGGTCTGGGCTTGGCCTAATTCCCAGATCTGTTCTTGCAGATTTTAACTTTGCCATGTACCCACCGTCAATGATAGCAACTGGAAGTGTGGGGGCAGCCATCTGTGGCCTTCAGCTTGATGACGGGGACAGCCTCACGGACCTCCTGGCCAAGATCACAAACACGGATGTGGTGAGTGTCCCACATTCCTCTTCTTTTACTTCTAAGGGTGCAGTGGAGAGCCAGGCCATCAAATCCAGCCTGATCCTGAAAGACCAGTGGAGAGAAGAAGAGGGTGCTCCCGGAGCAAGCAGTTTGCAGGAGTGGACTCAGCACTGTGTTTGCAGTGCTTTGAATGTCCAAAGCTCCTTGGCCTCCTGGGATCAATTTTCATTCATGCTTTGTTTAGCAGCTTGGTGGGGAGAGCCTGCTCTGCCCACCCTTGACTAATGGTCTGGCATGCTGTCTGGGGGAGCTGCCTTGGATTCTGCCTCAGGCAATGGGGCGAGCCTGATGACAGTGTGCCCTGGGGCATAAGGCAGACCAGTATGTTTGCTAGTCCTGTGTTTGCAACCCTCTTCTGGTCTTGAGTTAGCATATAAAAATCCTTGGTAGAAGGAGGTGAACAACGAACTAATCCTCCAGCACTGGCACAGTTTGAGGCAGGGGCAACCCAGGCTGTCTGCTGTTTTGTCTGTAACTTCAGTAAGTTTGCCCCATGAAGGCCATTTGTGGCTTGTCAGAAAATCCCATCATCAGTAGGAGATGTGAATCTGATGGCACTTCAGTGGTGCTCAAACTCACTCAAAATTTAGCTTTCTGGTCTGGGCTGAGCTTCCTGTGGAGAAATGAAAAAAAACTAACCCTGAGAGCTCTGCATGGCAGTCTTGCCAGAAAGCTGGGAGGACTGAAAGGAGCACACTTGGGGTGGTGCCTCTCCTGCTGCCCCCTGTATTGGTGAGGCACTGCAGGGAACCTATGCTCCTGCAAACCTGAAGTGCTTGGTCTGTGTAGAAACACGAGTTTCATCTCTTGGGAAGCTGACGTATTTTGCCATCATAAAATTCAAAAGGAAAGAAAATGAGTGAGGCTTTCTGAAATGCAGGCCACTAATAAGATGATGCTTTTTTGACCATAGAAGTATCAGTTTCCAATGTGTCGTCTTTAATATGTCCCAGCTATAAAACTTTTTCTTGCTTTTACTGTGCAGAATAAATACACTGTCCAATTATTAGATCCATCATAACATTGTCAAGAGAAGGTCTGGGGTTTTTCCAGCTATAGAAATTACAGCCTGATGGACCAACTTGGTAGCTAGCAGGACAAGGATTATGCTGAGAGCAAGGGAGTGACAGCATGGGGTGAGGAACAGGGGCACAAATAGCTGTTATGGCGGCCGGGCATGGACAGAGAGGCTTGAAGCGAATAATTGCGAAGTTCAGGGGAAGCTTTCACTTTGTAATTTCACTCGTCTTAAATTTCTACTGCTGTGAAACACATCACTACCCACAGAAATCCCTAGGTAGTTATTTGGAAGTCCTTTATGAGGATAGAAGCAAGTGGTGCTCAGGTACCCCCAAAACCCAAACTTAGAGCAGCTACCCTCAGCAGAGCTTATCACTGTTCCTGTGCTGTCTGATTAGTGGTGTAGTCTTTCCATCACCAGACCATTTTTCCCGTATCAGTGAGTTCCAGATAAACTACTGATACTGTTTCCACAGTACTTTAGCACTTCTCAGACGGGAGAGTCCTTGCTGGTGTATTTGTATTTGTGGCGTTTGGTTGGTTTTGATCATTGAGTAGCTGGGTTCTGTCCTTCTGGAGATGCCAGGGAGTTGTTCATGGTGGTTCTTCATCTCCTGTAAGAGTTTCCCTGTGCAGTCACAAGGATCTTTCCCTCCTTGCTCTTTTTCAGCATGGACAAGAAGTTTGAGTAGCAGTGACAGCATGGTGCTAATGATGCTTAGCTCTTAGGTGAGAGTAAGCAAACTCAACAGATGGGCTATGTCATTGGGACCTTATGTGATACTTAGCTGTGCCTTGAGTCCCTGGTCACATTTCCTTCCCTCCTCCATCGTTTTCGCCAGCAAAAAAAGATTTTGAGCATCCCTTTCTGATGCAATCCTTGCTGTAGTAATCTGTTCCTTAAGCACTTTTCACTTGGGTTACAGTAGTTCCTATTGTACGGGGTCACGTTCAGAATGTCATTCAAGGCCAGATCCAGCTGCTCGCTTGCACAGCCACTCTTCATGGTAGGAATTACACCCATGGGTTTTCTTACTGCACTTCTCCATGTGTTTCTGGAAGCTGGCTGGTGCCTTGCTGCCTCACATGTGAAGCTCTGCTTGAATCAGGATCCCAGTTGTCTGTTCCCATGCTCAGTCTGCGTACTGGGAATGTTTGTGAAGGCTTGTAGGACAGAAGAAAAGTCACAGTAGGGTGTCTTTCTGGTGGAATTTTCTTCCTCCTTGGTATGGTAGAGCCATGCTTTGACTTTCCAAGCATGTTGCGAGCATATTGCACATGGTGACATTTGAGGAAGGAATACATGGCTAATTTTGCTGTCTTGGGAATTTTTCTGAATTCTCTGTATTTGATACTTACTGCTAAAATCTTGAAGCTTATATTCTTTATCATAAGAGATATTGAAGCTTTCTCAGGCATCCCAATGCCTTTTAATGTAAGGCCATTTTACAGTGTACTGCAGATTGGACAGACTTTCTCTCTTACGCTGATTTTTTCTATCCTGATTGTTTCAGTCTGAAAGAAAATACCTGCCAAAACAGCTTAATAGTTCTTAAGTCATTAGAAGAAAGGAGAAAAAAAGATGCTATTTTTTACATTGAAAATTTCTTCATGCCTTTTCTTTGAAATTTAGCAGATGGGTTTTTGTCAGAAATGTGCTTTTTGCCACCCTAATGTAAAACTTCCCAGATCTGACTGAGCCTTTAGAAAAAAACTAGAATATCACTCTTTCCAAATAACAAAGAACTCTACGTTTTACTGGTCACATCTCTCCAGGAGTCTGTCGGCACTGGATAGAAACAAGCCTTCTTCTCTTTGCTCCTGGTGTCAGCCCACAGACTGAAGAGGAGAGTTTCCCAAGTCAGAGCACACTCAGGACAAAAGAAGTTTCTGGATAATGTAATTGCTAAAAATTTGAGGTCTTTGCAAAAGTTAGAGGTGCTGTCATTTTTTCAGGCTGTTTCTGTTGTGGCAGAGCTGGCCTGAATTCAGGGTCTGTCTCCTGCAAGCTTTGAGGTCTCGGACCAATCAGAGGTGGCCAGAATTTTTAACTTGGGCAAAATAGCGTATTTTTCATTAGCCAGCTATTGGGAATGGGAGAAATATTTTGGTAGAAACTTTCTCTGTGACATTTTCATTTGAAAAAATGCAAAAGGGCCCAGGACTGGAAGCTTCCACGTATTAAAGCTTGAGAGAGAGATAAGCAACTGTAAACAGGGTCTTGGAGGAGTATGGGATAGTCTTAGCAATAGATAGTACTATCAGCCTTATCTGTAAAAGGTATTATTGGAACAAATGTACTGGCTAGGTTGTGTAAATTAGCCCGAGGCTGTGTTAATGATGAGTTAAGACTAATGTAATATATTTTACTGGGGGGGGGGGACGGGGACGGGGACGGGACGGGACACTTAAAGTTGAATTAACAGCTTTAGTTCTCTCACTTCCTAATTTCTGATGCCTGAGAGCTGTTCCTGCAATGACACAATTAATTCAACATCACTCTGTGAATGGTTTTGTTTTCAGAGGGGATGTTAGGGAGAGGAAGGAGTGAGAGCTCCTGTGCTTCAGGGGCATCACATGATGGAAAAGCAAGGGAACTCACAGAAATCACAGTTCTGCAGAGGAAGAACTTCTGTCTGTCCACCCACCCCCTGCCGTGCCACTGGTAACCCACAGGAAGCAACAGAGAGCTGGGGGAGAGTCCTTCCCAACTGGAGGGTCTTCTTTTTCTTTTGGTGTGTGTGATTGCTTAGCATAGAAGCAGATGATGGGACTTTCTCATTGGCTTTCTAAAGAATGTCACTGTTGGAGGTGAAGCATGAAAAATCTCGGCTTCAAAGATGCAAGCATATGAAACTAAAGAATGATAATGAAATCCTGATGCAACATAAGTGCAGTGAGCTTTTCTGAACTTGTACTGTTTGATGCTAACAATTTGAGGGTGCTATCTGTTTGCTAGGAAATAGCCACAGAAACCATGAGTCTGAAATTGATGAGTATTTGAGATCTACACTGGTGTAACTAAGACTGGAGTTTGGCATTTAGTGCTATAATATTTTTAGTGAATGTTTCATTAAGAATTAGACCAAAAATATGTTACTAATAAACAGCAGTTAATTTAGAACCCAGCTGTTGGGTAAGCAAACAACCAACACAAGAGTGTTTCTTTCAGAAATACATCGGTGTCAGCTATCCTATGTGAATCCAAAGCAGTGCTTCAGACAGTACATGGCATCCAGTCAGTGTAGTTCTAGGGATAACAGCTATTTCTGATAAACTGTGCCCTGGGCCATTTGATGAAGGTTGAATCACAGTCTGAAGAGACAGTGACAAGAAGGCCATGCAAACCTCAGTTTCATTACTCCTTCCATCTACCAAAATAAACACATCTCAAAATAAAATACAAAATAAAAACATCTACCAAAATAAACAGCTCCCCTTGGAGAAGCTGAGATGCTCAGCAGCCTTATGGGTAGTGAAAGCCCTGCATGGTGTATCTGAATGACTTTTCTGATCATTATTGTCCCAAAGAGTCGTTAAGAGCTAGTCTCACACAACTTCACACAGCTCTGATGGATGGGGGATTGCATGTTTTGATATGTTTTGCTGCCAGAGAGTGGGAATATTTCCTTTGTGTTGCTTGAAGAGGAGAAGCCAGTGGGCAAAGAGTTAACAGACTACTCACAGGAACCTGCTGAGCTCCCTGTGAATCTCTTGGTGGGTCATTGAATGGAAAAATAAAAAACTCAGGAAGTCAGGAATTTCCATAGCATCCCAGACAAGCCCTCCAGTTCATTCAGTATCCTGTCCCTCATGGAGCCAGATGCTTCAGGAGGATACAAGCATCCCCGCCGTGTACAATTATGGGATGTAAGGAAGGATAGCTGAATGGGTAGGGCACAATTAAAGAACTTGTAATCAATATTCTGCTTTGCCACAGATGTGTT